AAGGACGTCTCACATGCTCCTGGACACACTTAAGATTGTTTTAAAGGACACCTCGCATGCTCCTGGTGTCACTCGGTTTGCAGTAAACAAAGTCTCACCACGCCACCGTGGACGTCCACCAGGCCACGTTCAACATGTCAGCGACGGACGGCTGCAGAAACAGAGGACAGTGACAGATGAGGGCAAACGTTAAACTGTCCCATCATCTAAAAGTTTGCACCCGGATGTTTGTCTCGTACCACGAAGATGCCTCTGGGTGCTGCTCCGGTGTGGCTGCTGCTGACCGGCTCACATGCAGACTGGTATTGGAAAGACTGTCGCCGAGAGAAGATGGAGTTGTTGTAGAGAGCGTGCATCAGGTAGGGGTCCACGTCGCCGAAGAAAAGACCGATCTGTGACAGGATGAAAGGAAAGACCGACACGGGGGGCTTGAGAAAGAACCAACAAACATCTGACAGCAGTTTGACAGAAACCTTTTAAATGCTTGTTTCATCTTGTTTTATTCATGTGGCCCGTCAATGACAACTGAGTCAAAAAACCAAAAGCTTTTGTGAAGACAGCAAACACAGAAAACACTAAACAGGATTTCTATGTTTAGATTTTGTGTCAGTGCAGTGAATAAAGCAGACGTTCTTCAAAAGCAGACAACGTAGAAGAGTCGGGCAGACTAACCTTCTTCCAGTGATCTCTCTGATTGGACATAACCAGGAACCCACCGTCGTCGATGAGATAGCAGAGGAGGTCCTGCAGACAACAGTCACGTACATCATACAAATTAAAGTCCGGGTGGATTTTGAATCTGCCAAGGCGAGATTTAAAATTTTGATTTGGCCTCGACCAAATTAAAATCCATCCTACATCATAATGAGATTGTAGTCCTGCCTAGTGACGAGTGACACATTGCAAGGTGTTAATCTGATATAACCTCCACACTTCATCGTGTGCGTGAACCTCTCATTCTTTAAACCATCAAAGGGTCCCACCAACATTTTCATACAAACACATATGAAGAGGTGTGACACATCTGTTGTCAACAGTCACACAAGACTGGTGCAAATACTGCATTTATATGAACGATTTTAATTTGGTCAAGGTGAAATTAATCTTATAATTCTGATTTAATTCAGATTTTTAATTTGGTGTGGTCAGATTTTAAACCTCCCAAGGCAGGCTGACAATTTCAGTTTGTTATAAGGATGATTTCAATTTGGTCCAGACGAAATCAAAATTTTTATTCTGCCTGGGAAGATTTAAAATGTACCCAGACAGAATAAATGAAATTAAATGAAATTAAATGAAAAATACTTTATTTATCCCAGAAGGGAAATTCAACAATAATAACAATAAATAATAAATAAATAATAATTACAATCTCATTATAATGTTAGAAGGATTTTAATTTGGTCGAGTTTTGTCCAGGCAGATTTTAAATCTTTTTAATCTGGACTGTGACATATGCATTGTAAAAAAAAAAAACATGTTTTAGAACTAATTTAGTCTCAAATTATGCAGATAAAATTGAAATGATGGTTGATTAGGAAGTGATTATTAGTGTACAATTGCTCCAAATTTCTAACTAATTAAATGTTAAAACAAATTAGGCAAACCACTGATGTAAAAATATGCAGGAAGGATTTTAATAAAATAACTGAAACAAGTCAGATGTGGAAGAAATAATCATTATAATAATAAGGAAACAGTCTTGCTTATTGTACATCTCACTCCACATGCTGGGCTTTTTTTTGTCTTTTTCCTTTTTGAAATTTTTCTTTTTTTTTTCTTGTTCACAAAAAATAAGTTTTCAAGGATCAACCTGTGACTAAATGACTGATTATTACTGGTCATGCTTATAATCGTGCACAAGCAGCACTGTGGATGGTATTAATTGTCCTGGACATTTTATCTGAAAAAAAAAACAGAAACCGGCCACAACAACACCTCTGTTCGCATGTGTAAAGTGATCATGAAGTCAAGTTAAATAAATAAAGTTCTTACATCTGTGTTGACTTCACAGTCCATCTCACAGCTTCTGGACGGTCCACACTGTTCAACAAAATGAGCAAAGTGAGGTCATGAGAGTTTTGTTTGAATTGAGCTCTAATCAGGTGATTAATGGCGACAGATGAGTGACGCCGTGCTGCACCTTGTGTGAACCCTGTCGGCTGTCTGACACGTTGCTGGCCAGGATTTTGAACTTGTCCACCCAGGCCTCCAGGTCCAGCTTCACTCCAACCACTGATCAGAAGAAGACGAGACTCAGCACAGAACAGAGGCTGAAACACTCTAATATCTTAGATATGAAAAAAGCAGGTGGCGCTTTAAATTTAGCATTTGCAACGTGAGCACTTTTCTTACCTGCAGGTTTGAGCAGTTTGCCTCCTAAGTTAACCTCCACAGCTGAGCTGACCAGAATACCGACGGTGCCGTTTTCTGCTCCCACGGGGTCGTCCAGAGCTGTTCAGAACAAGCACACGTATCACCACCTGATATGACGCAACCTTTTGAAATGAATGAGTCGATCTGAACTCAAGTTGACTGGAACAAACAGCGGCTCGGTGACTATGTGACAAAAGAAGTAACCCTTTTTAAAGACGGTGAGGCACATTTGAGTCACGAAAGAGAGAATACATGCCAGCTTCTCATGGCTCAGCGTAGATAATAGGTTGGCATGCAATCTAATGAGTCTCTTTATGAATATTGTAATAGTAAACAACCCAACTGTCTGTACTCATGAATGAATTATGTGAGAGACAAACACTGCAGCTCCTCTTCAAAGCCACCACTCTTTCAGGCTGTTGAAGAAAACGTGAGTCTGCTGCTGCTGCTGCTGCTGCTGCTGCCTCGATTGATTTGTTTGTTTGTGTTATTGTGTGACTTTGCTCTGTCTGGCGGCTCTGGAGAGAGAATTATAACCGCTTCAGTTCCCGGTTGGACAGGTCTGTCTGACAGCAAGGTAGCACCGCGAAAAATATTCTAAATATAGAGCCCCAGTTAAACTGGTATTGATTTTCTGATACATTTTGCTGCTGACCCCGTCGACAGCAGTTCACTGCTCCGATTCAGTGCTGCTGGTCCTCCTCGTCTGCGTCTCCAAACTGGGAGCAAACAGACTGGACTGTAGGTGATACGCCAGCTGATTGATGGGCACCTCACACAACCGAAAAGAAACCCAAATTAATCCTTGAAATGAAAACTGTGGAATATATGGAGCCACCGAAGGCCCCAGTTATTTAAAAAACACTTTAACTCTAATTAACAGACCTGAACAATGAACCAACTATGATTGTGGCTTTTACACGAGTTATATGTCTTGTCTTGTTGTGTGTGGACGCCGTTCAGAGGAGCTGCTGCCTCAGTGACAGCTAATGGGGATCCCAATTAAGAATAAAAAATAAAGACGTGAGACAGTTCCATTTGCAGTAGAAAACCCTAAAACGTTAGCCCACGGCCCCGTCTATTTTCATTAGAGTCTTGTGATGATGACACGTCACACACTGCAGGATGTTGTTAAGATCATGACACCAGGAGGAGCATTCAGAGAGCAGAGCACCACCTCATATGATCTACAAACAGATGTGGACAAAATAGAGAACGTAGTGCAACAGCTTGGTGTAACGCTGCAGTGAGAAACAAAAACAAAAGGCTAAAGGAGTCTGAATAAGAAAGCGGTTCAGGGATGTCGTCAGTATGGGTTGCATCAGTTGTATTATCTGTAGCTAACATTTGTTTTAAGAGCTGGAAAGCTTTGCATTGTTGGGAAACATTCAAACGTAACCATCCAAGTTTTAACACGTAAACACCAAAGTGGATCTGTAAACCCCTCAGACTGGTTCAGACCAAGATCCCAGACTAGAGTTCTCCTCCGTTTGTGAAAAGGCCTAAACTGTCCCAAAAGTGCTGTAGAGTGAGCTTGTTCTGAACAACATTACTCGATACAACAACCTGCAGGTCATTAATTTAAACCATCCTGATCATAATTGTGATCCTGGTGCAATTATATAGCAGCTCATGGGCCTGTAACCACCTCGAGGTGACAGCAGCACACTTGTCCAGGAGAGGAATCCAACTTGAGGTTGATACGATCACAAAGTCTTTTTGATTGCTCAGTTTTCCTTTTTGCAACTCCTGGAACAGCAACTTTTTCTTGCAGGATTTTCTGCCATTGAGTCATCTGAAGGGATGTGTGTCTGCATTTGTAAACAGCCAATAGAAATGACTCCACAAAAGACATATGATTGGCCGCCATCACTGGCTGAATCTCCTCTCAGACCACTTTGTTTTCACTATGCTGGAAGTTTAGCGACTGCCGAGTTACACTAAGTGCATCAGTTTAGTTACTCACTGGATCTAAGCGGAGGCCTGAACATGTAGCCTCTGTTGTCGAGGCTCCGTCTGTAGAAATTCGAATTGAACGGTTCAGGATCTTCATCCCACAACTCTGCAGCTCTGTAAAAACATAAAACACACATTACAGCATGTTTGAAAGCAGAGCGTGTGTGTGACAGCGCTAACACGTGTTGCTGCTTGAGTAGGTAAGCAGTTTAATCTCACTCACATGTTGGGAAAAACTCGCGTTATTCCTCCATCTGTGGATGCAAACACAGCCAGGAAGCCGTACCTGAAACGATTCACTCAGTCAGCTCTAGAGTTTTTTGTCATGCTGGATGGTTTGTATGTTCGCTGTGTGGAGCAACAACAAGTCGACTCACGAATTCAGGTCCTTGTTCTTCCATACACGAGAGGCGAGCTGCCCGATAATCCGAGAATCCAAAATCAGGTTGTGGATGAGGCCTTGATCACCTGCAACAAAACCGCCAGCTGATTATCTCATCTGCAGCGTACCGTCTATTACCACTAAACTCTGTTAATGCACCTACACTCATCAGATTCTGGAGAGATGTCCAGCATGAGGGACAGAAAGTTCTGCAAAAACTGTGTGTTGTTGTCAGAAAGCTGCAGGCGCTTGCAATATTCCCTGCAGAGACAAAACCATAAATAAGCACCTTTATGTTTGACTAAAGAGTGAAGTCAGGAGAGATAAAGATGGTCACCTTGGAGCCAGAAACACGTGTCCCGATGATTCAAAGGAACTGGGCAGCAGCGACTGCATATCTGCAACAGAGGAAGAGGAGACGGTGATGTTTTCTTTCATGTCTCATTTCTTTACGAGGCCGCCTCTCTGTACTCACACTGGAGCTGCAGCATCACATCACTCAGGTCTGCCTGGATGTAGTACTCGTTGTAGGGAGGTAATACCAGGCCCAGACTGCAGGGGGTGGCATCCCGACGCGAAGACGCATGAATGAAGAGACAGAGAGGAGGTGGATAACAGAGTGAATCCATCTGCAGTCCTCATCAGACTCCAGCTACGATTTGTGATTCATAACATGAGCTCACCTGTAATCTGTGCCATTGATGGGAGTCCATGTGTAACCCCTGAACACCTCATCAATGTATGACTACAACAGCAGAGACAATTCAGTGTGAGACAGACTGCAGTTCACTCAGTTGTGCTTCATGTATTTACAGCGGTGTTTTCTGGAGGTGTGACTGTGCTCATGGTTCTACAGGTTAACTAATATCGCAGTTTTACCCAAGATCCACATCAACAATGATAAGCTGCACCATATTTTTGGCAACACACAGTCTATTCAGGCTACAGAACAAGCTGCACGGAGATTCTATTATTCCAACGCCCAATGTGTGATCAATATGAAAAAATTTGCCACAACCCCAAAACTTCAACAGATCATAAAGTGAAAATGCTGGACAAAATGTAGTCACATCAATGTATTTTCTGATGTGATTAAATGCACAGCGAGAAAACTGTATATCTTAACCTCTGATCAGCAGAAAGAAAACACGGCACGATGATGTATCAATAACATCATGCCGTTGAATCAGAATAGATGAGAAGAGCTACCGAGGGGACCTTGAGATGAGATGATGAGTATTAAGACTAATTACACTCACAGTGTGTGCACTTGACTGACATTTTCTAAATACAGTAATAAATTAGAATTGCCAAGAAGTGGTTGTTTGCCTCCACTAACCCAGCAAGTTGCAGCAAACATCCATGTCTGCTGACACTCTTTAGTATTATAGACTATAATATAACAAAGACAAAGCTTTAGCTATGACAGCCAGCAGTGCATTCAGTGTGCATGTTGCTGCAAAGAGTAAACACGGATGCTTCACACGTGTTCAGTGCAGCAGCATAGAGGATTTATAGTCACCCCAGTTTCAAGTGTTACCAGTTCATACTATTACAGTCACGATGTGCACCTCTGTTGCTGAGAGATGCTGTTTAATAATGGACAGAGAAGCATTTTTATAGTGTCATTGACCTTTGACCTTTTGGGAATAAAATGCTATCATATTAACCTATTTAAACATTTGTGTGAATTTTTGTCGTATTTGACTTTTGAATTCTTGAGTTATGACTAAAAAGAAGAAGAAGAACCTCCAGACTGATCAACAGCTTCATTCCACCAGCTGTCAGAACGCTGGACTGCTGATCCAGATATGCAAACACTTCATTATTTAAATTGCTTTAAGTTATTGGATCCTGAAGAAATGCTCTTTCATGTCGCCTGTACTGCTGTGTACGTACAGCAAAATGACAATAAACTTGATTTGATTTGGAAAATGTGTTTTATGACATTATAGTGATCATTAAAAAAATCGAACCAATCAAATGAACATTTGTGGCAAATCCAAAAAAGTTTAGCTTTAATAAAAATGGGGCGAACAAACGGACAACCTGAAAACATAATGAATCTGTTGCTGGTAGGAAGACACAAGAATAAGAATTATTCCTTTGATAAAACAACCTTATTTAGAGACAAACATATAGGGAAAGATGAGAATGATTGCCTTAAACTGTTTACTTTATGACACTGCTTTCTGTTTCAGTGTGCGGGAACGGCGACATGAACTGATTATTGTTGATTTTACATAAATTATGCAGTGAAACAGTCTGATTAGGGAGCAAAAACAGTTTTACTAAGATGTGTGTTTAAAGTCATAACTTACTTCAAACAGTAGGATAAACTTGACCCAGAAAGAGGCCCTGCAGTGATTAATATTTCAGATACAAAAAACTTTTTGAATTCTTCGTCTCATTTCCAAATAGTTGGTTTAGATATTAAAGGTAGAAAAAAAAGCGTGTTTTTACTGTGAGCAGCTCGTTTCATGGACCTACTAGACAGAGTTGTGAGTTTATGAGCGTGTGAAGCATCTTACCAAAGATTACAACTGAGCACAGTAATAACTAAATAGGTGAAATGTGTGGGGACATTTACTTACCTCGTCTATGGACTTGATAAGAGTCTTAACCTGCATTTCACCTGGTCTCCCGTCAATCATCTGGCGGCGAATCTGCACAGTGAAAACGCAAAGCAGTCACCAATATGTTACCAAAACGTGTTATGTGGGCCTTTAACTACCTACAGAGACGCTGCACACTGGTGGGCAGGTTGTCCTGAGGCAGATATTGTTGTTCACTGGCTTGGTAATAACTTCAAACGNAATAAACTGCATCTTCATATGATGCACAGTGAATATGAGAGAATTATGAATACACTAGCAGTGACCATCTGCTGACATGAATATGCACAAAAAGTGAGCATCAAAAGCAGCTGAAATCTCATTGAGTCTAAACACAACAGTAAAATAGCGGTCCATCTTGTCAGAATTTAGCCACGTAGAAGACAAGCTCTGAAAGTCTACAATTCCCTCAATAATTCTCATCATTTTTCATCCAAAAGAAGAGTGAAGAAAGGAAAACGAAGGCTTGCTGAAGGTAGAGGAGCAGCCTGAAAGTGTGCAGCGCGCTTCAGAAGAGCGTTTGAAAGCCTGCACAGCTGGATGGGTTAAAACATGGAGAACCACCAGCGTAGTCGTTTAAAATGACAGGGGGATACAGCGGCTCAGACAAGGATGTGAGAGGCCATGTGAGAGGATGAGGTTAACCTCGTCTCGTTTTCTCGGGCAAATGAAGCAGACCGAGTGGAAAAGTAGAATGCCAATGCGTGTCGGACTCAACGGAACCGCACGGCTGAGTGCACTCAGTCATCTGTTTGAGCCGGCCGAGCGCCGAGGGATCCGCTCAGCCGACTGGTGCAAATGTTCTCTCTTTCTCAGGTCGTCCCATTTCCAGCCACAGCGCTCAGAGAGATACCCATCTGATGTGATTTATTTTAATCAGCGGTTAGAGGTGGACATAAATAATGTCCAGAATAAAAGGAGATATGGTAAAAATTAACATTTAAAACTCATTTTATTATGGAAAGAGGACCAGACCAGATAGGATATGCAGCAGAATATCACCTAAATGTCCATTAATTTTAAATTCTATCACTCTAAATAAGTTGACAAGTAGAGTGTTTCCTCTCGTGGAAACCAAAAACCTAGAAAGACTTCATTTCAAATCCAGGCCCTAAAGCAGAAACCTGTGATCACTTCCAGGTAGCCTAACTGCATTAACATGGTTATAAAATGACCTGTGAACACCAGAACCTTCCTCGTTTTGCACCTATATGGTCTGTGTCCGTCTACATAATGGCTGCACATGGAAAAGAGTTTCCAGTGGAACCGACAAATCTGAACTGCGAGACTTCACGAAGATGGAAAAGGACACAAGGAGGCGAAACGGTGAGAACAGAGCAGCAGCGGTAATCAGGAGTCAGTGAGCCAGAATAGAGTCAGAGCTGCATCCTTGTAAAACGACACCACAGACAGAGCGCTACTTGAACAACTACAAAAAACAAGCAGGCAAGAGCTTCGGACTTCTCACAGAGGTTATCGGCGGAAATCGGAGTTTCTGTGGCGACAGCGTGAAGGACGTCAACCAAACCTCAGCCTGCTTGCTGTTTGGCGCAAAATTGCAAAATGAAACTTTACCTACGGACATGAAAAGAAGCCTGATGAATGAGACCAAGATACACTTATTCAGCGTGTTTGGTGTGAATCCGGCCTTGACGACAGTGAATGCACCGTCCTGACAGTGAAGCATGGGGCAGCAGTGGGTTGATACGAGTTCAAAAGGTGACATTTATAGACGGCACCACGAACGCCGGGAGATAAACCAACACACTGGCTGACTAGACAACTCCTGGTTTACAGAAGCTTGGCGCAGGAGGAATATTCCAGCGTGATGACGCTTCAAAGCACTCTGCTAAAATCACGAGTCTCCACAGAAGAAGAAAGCGAAGACTGTATGTTGCCTGACTTGAATACAACAGGATACCTTCAGGGTGTTTTAAAGAGAACGCTAGAGCAAAACAATGCCTCGAGCAAAGAGAAGCTGAAAAACATCGTCTCTGAAGAACGACAGAAGATCAGAAGTTTGTGCGACGCTGGTATCCTCCACGCTGACGAGGAGCGAGTTTTTCATCAGAAACAGTGGCAGACATTGGAAGGACTGAAAGGATAAACCATTTGTAATGAGTTTTTTGGACCAAGGTCTTCCTGTGGGGCCTAGCTATACTTTTAATACAGTAAATCTAAACGTTTTGTTTTCTATTTTGAATCAGTGCAAATACAGTCGTGACTTGATAATCGACCCTTAACAATCCTAAACCTGCTATCCGACAGGTTTTTAGGAAAAACCAACAGAACCCATAAAAACAGCCTTAACATAGCGACAGCCTTGGATTCTTTATTGGTGACATTTTATGTCACCAATCAGGATAACGGCGTATTATCTGACTGAACAATCCCACAGATTGGCTACGTTCACACTGCAGGACTTGAAGCTCAATGAGGATTTTTTGTGAAATCCGATTTCTTTGTGACTTCCTTCACATTTCCAGTTCAATGCAACTTGTATGTGATCTGCTGTGTGAACTTCATACGACCCAAAAGTGTCCCGCATGCGCAGAAGAGGACACGACGACGTGACACGCAGCGAGCGTGCTCAGTGTGGAAACAGAAGTGTGAGCGCTAACTAAACTAGCATCAGCAGCCAAGTGCTGTCTGTGCGTTCCGGTCACTTCCACCCTGTTAGAGCGCTCCCTGAATATTCTGATATTCATCATTAATTGAGCCCAGAAAGTGCTATTGGGACCAGCCCTACTGGTTATTATAACAACTATGAACAATGAATATTAACAAATGAGCCTTCCAGCATCAAGCCCTCCTCGCATCTCGACCTCCGTCTTGACAATCCGACAGCCATGCTATCCGACATAAAAGAAGATTCTACATTTAGTGTCGGATTATCGAGTCACGATTGTACCTGAATGTTTAACTTCTGTAAGGTGATCAAATTTTGAAATATTTCAGTGACACTTCTGTTGCACACCGTAGGTAATAATATTGTCGTAATTCACTAGAATATGTCGTTTTCTCTTATTATTGTCAATAACTTTAATATGTGCATCCTTCAGGAGGACTTTTCAATCAGTACCTCTAAGACGGTACGTTTACTGTAAAGCAATAACGTGCAAAACTTTGAAATTCAAGTCTGAAAAATACATTGAAGAAATGAAACTCAGTCATAAAATCACTGCATAANCTACCTACAGAGACGCTGCACACTGGTGGGCAGCTTGTCCTGAGGCAGATATTGTTGTTCACTGGCTTGGTAATAACTTCAAACGCAAACTTAACAACACAAAAGAACACAAAGTGCCTGAAGTTTTTTTTTTTGCTCACCTCCTCTTTGTTGCTGTCCTCCACCTCTGCATCCAGAAAGTCCAGCGTCACGGGTTCAGGAAGGTTCACAAGCTGAGAGGAGTCACAAGTACAACATGGAACATCAAACGGAAAACAGGTTTGGCTGGTAGGCTTCTTAAAGTGTAAAAATAAAGCTTCCTGCATGATTAGATCACCTTTGGCTGAAGATTGGGATGAAGCAGCAGGTATCCGTTCGGATCGATGGCGAATATGTACCCGTTGGCTCCGAGCTGTTTCAGACACAAAAACAGTGAAGAACAGCAGCGATGTGCTGCTTTGTCTGCCACATACAAGTACAAATGAAGAAAAATGTGACTAATGGTTGCTAATGAGATGCACATACATTGTAGCGGGGTGTGAGTCGCTTTATCTCATCCAGATGCACGTCGACTCCCATGACACCTAATATCAACTGATTCTGGTAAAAAAAAAAAAAAAGAACAGCAGCGATAAATATATGCAAATGAAGGGACAGTCCCATTAGTTTGACTCACTGGATGCAAAACGTCAGTATAAGCCCACCATTTCTGCATTTCATGAGACAATAGTAACAACCACTAAGTTGGATTATGCAGTAAGACATGACAGTGTTCCCCTCCCTGAATCTATATGTTCCACCAGAGCAGTTCCCCTGACACTGGGGCACCATCACTGCAACTTGGGCTCTTCACCACCCACAACAAATATGACTTGTTTTTAAAAAAAAACAGAAACAAGATTTTGATGAGCACAATAAAAATGAGATGCAGCCAAAACCATTCTGACACAGTGCTGTAATGTAAGGAACGTAGCACCGCAAAGTCACTGCATCCAGCTCAGAAAAGTGGGACCCATAACCCCCTGCATAACCTCAACGTGTCGTTTCTACACTACAGTTTTAATCCAGCTTAATCAAATGAGACTTAACATATTATGTTGTGAGGTTTAGAAGAGCTGGATTCAGTTAACTGAGCCAGGTTGCAATTGAATAGTCTTGCGTGGGAAGGTTCCTCACTGAACAATATGATCCAGAGGTATCTAAGCAGCAGCTAAATGAAATCTCTAAATGCTAAAGAAAGGTCCTCCGTTGCTTCCTTTCTTCTCTCCTTTAGCATTGATGTGATGTACTGGACAATCCTTTACAAAAAGCAAGGATATATGCTGTCTGACAATAAGCTGGACTGGACTGTAAACATCGAGACTCTGTCAAGGTTTTTCTGAGGAGACTGAGATCTTTGAAAGTCTACAGATCCATGCTGCAGATGTATTGCTACTCAGTTTTAGCCAGCATCATCTTCAAAACTGTAACGTGCTCCAGGAGATCTTTTCTACCATGAAACTATTTAAGTACGAGCCTTCTGCAGGAATGCTAGCTGAAACATCCATCTATCCATGCATTGTCTCCACACTGCTTAATCCTCACTAGGGTCATGGGGGGCTGGAGTCTATCCCAGCTGACTCAGGGTGAAGGTGGGTTCACCTGGACAGGTAACCAGTCTATCACAGGGCTACACTTAGAGACAGACAACCAAGCACACTCACATTCACACCTACGGACAATTTAGAATCACCAATTAACCTCAACATGTTTTTGGACTGTGGGAGGGAACTGGAGAACCCGGAGAGAACCCCCGCTGCACGGGGAGAACATGGAGACTCCATGTAGAAAGATACTGGGACGCGAAGCGGCGACCTTCCAGCTGCGAGGTAATGATGCTAACTGAGCTTAAACATCAGGCACCTAAATCTCAACAATCATATCATTGTCCTTTGCAATATAACTTTCCTCCAAAGCTTGTACATCATCAGTTTTAGCATCATGTGCAATATTTCCTTATCATGTGTGTGTATGAGGCAAGTTTCCCTCAGGGATCAATACAGTATTTCTGATTCCGGTTATTACTTTACTACTCCAGTATCATTGCCACTATTACATTTTCTATTCTATTCTACTTTATCTTCCTTATTATTTTACCTACATTGTGTTGCTTGTGTTGTATCTCTTATCTTATCTTACAGTGTCTTGCAGCAGCGACATGTAAATCAGTGCAGACCCACGTCAGTAACATCAACAATCACGTGGGTGTGTAGTTTAGTGTGAGTGTAGTCAGATTCTCTCAGCGCCACGGTTGTCTTATCCTATGTCTTTATGAGCTCTCCTTCACATCTTTCCCTGATCTCATGATGTTTTTCATCTCAGTCAAGAAAGAAAGTTCAAATTCAACCCCAGACTCTCTGTTCAACTCTGTTCTACTGAATTATAAGAGTACAATTGACCGTATCAGCTAAAACAAAGTAAAGAAAATAACTCATAACCTGCAACATGCAAACATAAAAACCCGTGTAGTTACCTGTGAGTTTCCATCCATGGTGAGATTGAACACAGGCAGCGTCCCGGTGACGACCATGCCAAGACCCTTCAAAAACAAAGCCCCAAATCATCAATGCAAATTTACATGAGCTGGTTTTTTCACTGTGTATTCAACGTATTTCCTGTATTTGCTAAACCAACGGGCTCGTGCGGTCTCACCAAAGCATCCTGGTACACATTGGTCCACTGAACCTGCTTGGCATCGCTGCCTGTCAGAACCATGGGGCGTCCCAGCACGTCGAGGTACTCCTGACAGAAACACAGACATACATGACCGGCTGCAGCTCCCAAACACCAACCGCATCAGGCCAGGGGGAGAATGGGTTGTGCAAACAAATGAGAATAGGTGTTTGTGCAGAGCGAGCGAGAGCCACAAGGATAATTAGAAACAGTGAACAGGGATCAGCTGTGTCAGAGGCACTAGACAAACCCACCTGGGTGTTAATCCTTATAGCACAGATGGAACGGATCTCAAAATAGTAACCTGGCAGGCGATGGAGAAAAAAAAGAAAAAAAGACAAACAGAGAGAGGGAGAGAGAGAGAGAGCGCATGTGTGAGCAGTTCTATCAGAAAAAACAGGAGTGGCGCTCATAAATATTCCAGATTTGACTAGATGTTACGAGACCAGTGACTCAGCCACTTGAATCCCACAGATAGGAAGCTTTAAGACGGAGGTGTCTGTATTTACTCAGTTCAATCAAGACCATTAGATCAGTCTTAAAGCTCCTTTAGAGAGCAAAAATGCTAAATTACTTATCTCAGTCCCGATCCCGTAACAGCCAAGGTGTAATATAACAATATAAGGTTTAAGATTAAAACAGTTGTGCATGCTTTTAAGTCGACAACATTCAATCAGAAACACCTTCATCGTGCATTTTATTATATTATGGTTGTGCTGCACAGAATTTCAAATTTAGTGTGTTTTGAAATTTTGGCATCTTCACTAGAATTTAAATGTAATGACTGTGCTGCTGGAAGGTCAGCGGAGGATATGTTGACGACACTGACGATAGGAATTAACAGAGCTCAGGCTATAATCTCTACAAAACAGAACACTGATTGTTCAGTTGATCTATTTCATACTAAAATAGAATAAAATAAAAACTGGGGTAACAACAGGAGAATAGTTTTAGAATAAAATATCATTTAATGGACGTGGCCAGGGTAACTTTTTTTTATTTTTTTACTCCCTCAGATTGAATGCAGCCTTGTGTGTCAGAGTTATGATGAAATCCACACGCAAGATGAAAACAGCTCCGCATCAACAAAAGGAAAAACTATTCTCATAGTCAGTAAGTCACTGTATCTGATCTCCAGGAGCCAAACTGAACTGATGGTGAACACTTGTGTGCACACAGATCTGAACGTCTGGCTCTCTACTGGGAACAGTGCACGTTACGGTACGTACTGCAGATGAGGCTCAACGGTTTGACTATTTTATCAGTTTAACGAACAGACACGGCCTATCATACATATACAGTAGTGCTCAAATGTATTCATACCCTCCCATTAAAGAAAAAACAGCTGAAATAAGCTGAAACTGACAAAAGTAATAATAAATTAAAAATTAATGAAAATCGGGACAGTTTTTTTTTTTTTTAATTATTCTTTTCAACCACAATTCAAAAGCAATGTCTCATTTCACTAAACTATAATTTAGCAAATTTTTATTTATTACTACTTTTTTCAGTTTCTAGTTATTTGAGTGACTATTGTGAATTTTGCCTTTTCTTTAATGGAAGGGGATGAATACATTTGAAGATGACTGTATGTAACGATGCATAAACAGTAATACCTGCATAATTATCTTTTAGTTCTCATTATTTCTTAGCATTACAAATGAACTACAGGCGTTAACATTCAGTTGTAACTCTACAGTATAGGATGCAGGGAACAGATAGAGTGACAGGAAGTGCAGCTCACCCTTATTCGTGCAGGCGATCCACTGCAAAGGTGTGACATCGTAGTTGTGTTGACCTACAGAAAAGGTAAATACTCGAACCTTAGGGGGGAACAAAAAGAGAAGATTTAATACAAAATGTCTGGAAGTGACGAGGACGCTAAACGCAGGCAAGTGAGATGATGGGAGGACACTGACCGTTTTGTTGGGCCAGTTGTATTGCATGAAGACATCCTGAGCTCTGTCCTCGCCTCCGTCGGTGAACAGCATGATTATTTTATTGCAGTTCGCCCGGGGGACGTTTGTCTTCTAAAAAATATGACAACAACAAAACCAGAGGGGTTGGTAAACACAATATACTGTGCATACAATCCTTGCCACTAACTAAATCACTTACGTTTAACAGCTGATTGAAGGCGAAATGAAAGCCAGACTTGTAGTCGGTGGTGCCTTTGGCCTGCATCTGCTGCACTGCATCCTTGAAGATCTTCTTGTTGCGCACGTTGGCCTGGACCAGATGTTTGAAGCAAGGAACCACGGCCTCGGCCTTCTCGTTGAACTGAAACACGCAGACGGGAGTTTGAGAGGAAATATGAAACTAAAGGGGCAGCGGGGAGACGTGAGAATCAGCGGTCAGACACCAACCCGGGCCACGTTGACGTAGTCGTCGTCAGACAGAGTGTCCAGCATTTCCATCACCGACGCTTTGATCAGCTTCAGGGTGAGTCCGCTGACACTGCCGCTCCTGAGGGAACACAATTAGACGCTTACATGAACACACACACACACACAGGAGGATACGAGCAGATAAAACGATGCAAAATTATACAGAAGCACGAGTTTTTATTTCTATTTGAGGGTATTTACTGAAGGTTTGAGTGCTGCTGAATAGGACCTAATCTTCTCCTCTTTAAGACACATTTTATGCAGATTAGTCGTGGAGATGCATTTGTTTAGTCGCCACACGACAACAGAGGATATGTGAGAAAATATTAATGAAAAGAAAAGCGACTGAACTGTTAAATTTCTTCTCAGACGCAATATAGAAGGTTGACTTTTAAACTCATTGGATGCGGTTGTTGCTCACACTCTGCTGTCTGAGAAACACAATCTAATCCAACACTGAAACAAAACACGCTGTTCCAACACTTCATTAGCAATCTTTGTCCCAATTTGTACTTGAATGCCGCCTCAGTGATCATCTCGTACATGTGATGAACAAACAAACATGTTTTATTGTTGATGAAAAGGTTGGTAGCTTTCCTGTTCTCCTCATTACGCTCAACAGCAGGGTTAACCTCGGACAGAGAGCCAGTGAACGACCATTTATAACCACGATGAATAGCAACCAGTGGAGACAAAAACACTCAGCGAAACACACCGCTGTCTGATCTACACAATAAACAGGCAACAACACTCGGCCTGATCGTGTTCCAGCTCAAAGCAATACTTCTGTTTTTTTTTTACATTTTGGGAAATTCTCACTCTCATGTTTGTCTGTTAAATATGAAGCTCCTGCCAGCAGCTGGTTGGTTTCGTATAAACAGGGAAACAGCGAGCCTGGCTGTGTCCAAAGGCAGCAGGATTCATTCACCAGCACTTCTATAGCTCGCTTTTAACATGTTGTCCCATTTGTATGAAAAACCAAAGTGCAAATGCAATACTCTGCTGCCCTACGTGGGTATGTGCCAGACTGCTTCTTGGCTGGGAGCTGTTACTTCCTGCACTCTGCAGGTGGCCTGCCAGGCTTTTTATTTCCCCCTGTTTCTAGTATTTGTGCTAAACGAAGACAACCGCTAGAAACAGTTTTTGCAGTTACAGGGAGAGCTAATGAGAAAAACCCAGAGCGACTCCAAGATATTAACAATGACTCACACGTCGACGAGGATGACCATATCTTTGGGGGATGAGGCGCCCTGAATGTACCTGTGGACAAAAAGAAAACAAGGATGCTCAGCTGGAGTTCTACGGCACCTGTATGAGGCCGACATGTTGGAAGCGGCATACTGTACCAGGGCCTCCTCCTGACATCATACAGATCAATTTTATCGGGGACTTTCCACGGTGTTGCTGCAAAGACGAACAGAGGACATTCACCTCGTGTTATTTCAGCCAATGTTGGTTCATCTGTCACATCTGACACCAGGTGAGGAAACTACCTGGATAGTAGCGAGTGACTCCCGTCGCACTCCCAAACGCCTGCCACAGCAGAGACGGATCCTCTCGACTGTTCTCCATGAACACTTTCTCCAGCGCTTGAGTCCAGTTCAGCTCATTCAGAATGACTGGAGCTGATGGGAAAAGACGTGGAGGAGATTAAAAGCACGTTTTTCAAATCTTGCTGTGCTAAAAATTGACATGTGATTAGTCTGCTTGCCTCCTTTGTAAATATCAGTGGGAATCTGAACAGCCGTGTAGGAATAGTTGACATTGTTCTTGAAGTTTGGATCGTACACAAACTCCAGCTTGATGCGAGAGGAGTTCTCCACCTCTCCCTCCCCGTCCTCGGGGTACTGAAAGAGAGCACATACATGACACATAGATGTTCATCCGTCACTGTCACTACAGTCTTCCTTCAGTCGACCGGCCTCGGTAGCAGAAGAGTCAGTTTATTTGTCCCTTACTCACATAACCCAGGTCTGCCTTGGAGTCATAGTAAGCCATGTCCAGCTCCTAGAAGAAAACAGATGGAGATATGAGGAGGCTGCCACGCTGACAACTGTGAAACATTGTGAGGACACGTTGTCAAGCCAGTATCTGGTCACACTGTGAGCACTCAGGGAGGGTTTCAGATCACGGTCATTCTGGCTATTTGTAATTAATGTACTTTACTGGTTAAGTCCATCGATCTAAAAAATGGCATATTGTCATAATTTTTTTAACTATTTGTCTCATATGAGCTTTAAATAGTGACAGATTTCACATATTTTTTATTGTGTTTTCCAAAATTAAGCAATGATTAATTTATATATATATATAATATTTTCCCCTTGGTGTTACCAATATTGGGGAAAGATGATCTTGAAATTATCCATAGATACTGAACTACTTACATTTTTAATTTGTTTCCATTCTTGTCCCATATCTCTTTGTGTTCAGCCCAGTTAAGCTGAAAACTTCCTGAATTTTTGCCACATGACTGTTGATTATAGGTAAAGGACTAAAGCACAGATTTTATTTATTTGTTATTTATTATTTTATTTTTATTTATTTATTTGTTTGGCTTTTTCCAGAATCTGATTAGGACACATGATTTATTTTTTTAAGCACATTTCTGCATGGGGCATATAGAATAACATGATTTTGATTAAATATCATGATTTCAAGCTTAGATCTTTTCTACTGGAATGAAACATCACAGTTCCAGTCATGTTTCCAGGACCTTCGGAGAGTTGAAAATGAGACGATTCTTTCTGTTTTGACAGTTTCTGGCCGCGATAAAAAGGGTAATTTTGGTGATTTTTAAAAAAGAAAACATGCCTTTTAAACCTACTAGCAGGTGTTGTAGCATAAAGGGCTAAATACCTTTGTTAAAAAAAAAAGTTTTAAAAATCATCAGATGTGAATAGTTGCAGCCAAAAACTTGATAAATCAGGTTTAACCAACAAATA